AAGCACAACGAAAAAGGAAATCTATTTCTTTCTTTTCCCTATTTAACTTAGCATTCAGTCTGTAATCAGCTAGTTAGCATAAAGTATTATTAAGGAACAATTTTTATAGTACCCATTTTTGTATGTTTTGTATACCACGCGAACATTTTTTGAATGCACCAATAGGTTATTCCCTTTTATGCTCCCTGTACTAAGTCAAAGGACCCCATGTGTCATAATGGGCTATAAGTGGGGTGCTGACCACGAGGTCAGCAGTTGGAAACCACCAGCTGCTCCGTGAGAGAAAGGAGTCTCTGCTCCTGTAGAAGGTGACATCCTGGGAAACGCAAAGGGCCAGTTCTATTCTGTCCTACAGGGTCACTGTGAGGAAGAGTTGACTGTTAGCAGTTGTGTTTCCTGTTTTTTTTTTTTTTTTTTGCTTTTTGATACTAAGTCAAACAACAGCTCTGGTATTTGAATGGTAATAATGCAAGTGGAAAAAAATTTCAATCTTTAAAATGTCTTTTGATTCTATTTGACTTTATCATATTAGAATCTCATTTATAAAAATGAGACTTTAAAAAATCTTTACATTTAAGATAATTCAAAGATCCTTTAAAAACTGAACAGAAAAAATGTGTTACATTAGGAAAATGTATAAGAAGAACTTATATAAATAATAACCATCAAATTAGTCATAAAAAAATTCCGCTCCTGTGGGAAAAGATCCACAGATACCCACGGTACCAGTATTCAAAGAGAGAAAATGATTTAGAATTATTCTAAAATTCTACACATACGGCTTTTGCTATGCCTTTTAGGAACTTTTCATTTTCCAAAAACGCATACTACTGTGGTTGCATCAGTTGAGTTGGTTCCAACTCACAGTGACTGGATGAACAACAGAACAAAACACTGTCGAGTCCAGAAGAGACGAGACGAAGTCTCATCATTCTTGCTTACAGGTAACATTCTACGTCTCAGACCGATTTGTTTGTCCTTCCGGTAGTCCATCATGTGTACTCAATATTCTTCACTAACATCACAATTCAAAAGTATCCATTCTCCTTTGATCTTTCTTATTCATTATCCAGTTTCCACCTACATATTGGGTGACTGAAAATACTATGGTTTGGGCAAAGTGATATCTTTGCTTATTAAAATTTTAAAGAGGTCTTGTGCAGCCGATCTAGCCAATGTCACATTCTTCTTCACTTGGATTAGATGCTCAGCATACAGGCCCGGTAAGTAGAGTGAAAGGAAACCAATCGGATGTACATGTTTTCTGATTTTAAGCCATACTGTAAACCCTTGATTTGTATGAATATCTGTTTTGATCTATGTACATAAAGGTAATTAAGTGTTCTGCAACTCCAATTCTTTGAAATGTTAGTCATAATTTTTTTAGGTTCCACAGAGTCCAATGCCTTTGCATAGTTTATAAAGCACAGGTAAAAGTCTTTCCAGTATTCTCTGCTTTTATCCAAGATACATCTGCCATTAGCAATGATATCCCTGGTTCCATATCCCCTTCTGAATCCAGCATAATTTCTAGCAGCTGAAATGGTTTTTGAATGACTGTGAACAGAATGATATATTAAAGCTAAGTTCTAAGCACTGATTAGCTGGAGGGCAAGGTTTACATTGAGAGCTTTAACTCCACTTTCAGTCTTGACATAAGTCCAGCTTCTAGTTCAGTTCTTCCTGATCCGTAATTGGCAATGTATAAAGTTTCTCCTCATAGAGAGTCTGCTAGGAAGCAGATTCTGATTCCCCTGGCCAGTCCAGGAATTGGGGCTTTGGCCTTGGTACATGCTGGAGCAGGACCTTAATGAAAACTGAGGTATCACGGCTTCTTGGTCATGAGTCATACTCCCACCAAAATGACCAGAGATCCACAGAACCAATCCTGTACACTTTTCTAATCTGTGACAGTGGCAATTGTGGCCCTTTTCCCGATTCTGTAGTCTTGCATACCCCAGTGATAAACTGATTTGCCACCACTCATGAAACTTTGCCAATTTCCTTTGTTTCCCATGTTCTGTTATTAGCCACATGGCCATGAATACACTGGACGCCACTATGGCCTCCTGCTGATGGTCTCCGTGTGAAATATTTGTCCTTGTTATTGCCCAGTTTAGGAGGTAATAAAACATATTTACATTGGGGCTGAAAAAAGGAAACACAACAAACCTCTAGACCTTTACCAAACTAATCAGTAAAGCAGTAACAAAAGTAATTTTATCATAAATAAAAATTAAGTGTCAATTTAAAAAAGCAACTCAAAATAGTATAGCAGAAACAGGCAAAAGCTATGCTAGAGAGGCTAGAGAGATTTGGGCAAGGGAGGAAGTAGGGCCAATGGATGAATTCCCAGCACAGAGGGAGGTAATCAGAAGAAAAGACATACTTCCTTTATCTATAGTTTTCAAAAAGGAAGGAATTTCCAGCAGGGGAAAGAGGAGGCATAAAGGGTGAGGAGTGAGAAGAGTAGACGGTGCACATACTCACACACACACACACACATACACACCCTTTCCCACAAATGCATGAATCAACCTTTGGAGTGGCAGAAAGTATGAATTTTGGTTGTATTCCTGCCACCTTTAAAGGGGAGAATATGCTACAAAATCCACCCAATAGCATATGAAAATCTGAATTACCATTCAGCAGGGACTCTCAGACCAGCTGTGATACCCATCTGGACAATCACGTTGAACACAACCCCTAAATAAACTCACTTGCTCTGTTGGAACCGTTTTCCTATCTCTCATCTGAATACTTTCTCATATGACAAGCACCCCAGGAGGAGGAAACTGAAGCCTGCAGTCCCTTAGTTGGAGCAGCACTAGATAACTAAAACAATAAGTATCTTGACTCTCAAACTATTAGGTATCTAGATTAGGGAGAAAGGGGGTTGTCTCTCCAATGCCTGCAAAGGGCGGCAATACAGGGGTTGGAAAGAGATCAGGCACACTAATTGGATACCTATGGGAAAACCCAAACTGAGCATGCAGACTAGGATCCCCTAGCACAGGTGAAACCTAAAACTTAGCTTCCAACTAACATCACACAGGTGGGCTTAACTCAGCCAGGAGGATTGGTCAATACCCTCAACCACACCACCCAACAGCGATGGGGTGGGAGGAAATAGAGCCAGCAGCATTGGGAAGGGTAGGGCCCTGCCTGACTGCTCCTCTTCAGCTGTAGGCGGGGTGGGGAGGGGCGGGGCTGGGGGGGGGCTGGCTATCCTCCCACTTAACAGCGCGCACACACACCTGTGTGTCCCACTCCAGACCTGTCCGGGGCCCACGGGCTCTTGGCCCACTGCGGGCCTCTTTTACTCTGCTCCTGTTCAGCTGCAGACAGGGGCGGGGGTCTCTCCCTCTGCCATGTGTGCCCCCCTCAGGCTCCACTCTGGGCCTACTGGCGCCCAGGGACTTTTGGCTTCTTGGCCTCTGGGGATTCCCCAGTTCTGAATGCTCCCTGTTCCTGTATTCTTTCCAAGTGGTTTTTCCGCACCCACGCTTTCCAGAAATAGCATGTACCTTTTCAAGACAGTAACACCTGGAACTTCCCTTTCTTCATACAAACTCACTTGGGTTACAAAAGTGCTTCTGTCCCCGTGAATGTACAGCCCAATCCAGAAACCTAACAAAGCCATTGTTTTCTGCAGTTTATACTATTTCTATTGGGAGAGAAAGAGAAAGGCAATGGTGTCTTGCCGAAAGCTAACTCACTGGCTAACCAGATGACTTTGGCAAAGTCATTGAATTCTTATACAGTGAATTTTCCTCAAAGGTAGTAAGGGCTTCTTTCGTAGGATTTCCTTGCGAAACCTTACTCATCCACCCTATAATACTGATCTTGCCCCTTTAAGCTTCTTTTTCTTTTTCACAACTCAAAGAACATTTCAAAGGAACACACGTGAGTCTCGTGAGAGAGAATGCCAAAACTGCCATTTGGATCAAACAGAATTTGGGGGGAATTGTTATTGGGATAGATAGATATACCATCTTCCTAAACTTACAGACCTAGATGGAGGATATGCTGAGAAACAATAGCTTCGCAATTAATATTTTTGTTCAAAGTCTCGATGACTTTTGTAGCAATGCTCTGTGACTGACTCTCAAATAAATTACATATGCTAGGCAGGCCAAGAATTTTGTTACCCTTAAACACAGAGTTCAATGAGATAATTGTAGAAGCAAAAGAACTGTAAGACCTATGTCTGATTCTAATATACTTGAGTCATGTAGTAACATAAACTTAACCAACTTTTTACTGAAAATCCCTAAACAGTAGACCTCTAAATCTTGATCATAATTCATACTTCAGTTCACATTTCACCATCAGGCAGTTCTCCTTAACATATATGTAGTTAATGCCATTATTCTTGTCTTCAAACCCTCAGTTCAAATAGCTGCTAACACAGTACCTGTACAAAATCCCTTCCAATCAAAATATTTTTTGCTACAGTTATTCACTCTTTTCTTCCTTCAAATAAATATTTTTCTACCCATAATCTATATTTTCCTTTCTCTCTGTGTTTTAGAAATTATATCGTTCCTAGAGGGGTATGATATTTTATTGAAGGCCCCATAATAATGCTCGCAATTTGAAGATGGTGATTGGGTTTTACCCCCATTACCAGAACCCTCCTTTCATCCCTGAGATGCACACTTACGCAGCTGAAATAAGTTTCCATCGTTTGCACTTTTAAGCAGATTTTTATAAATTCAAGATATAGAATGCTTAGGAAAAGAAAGTGCTTTACAGGTAAAGTCTAAATGTTGTTAACATCACTAGATCCAGAGGAATTCATAGGTAGCTAGACCCTGAGTTTGGGGTTAAAGTAAGTGGTGTGATTGGACATCAGAAGATTCTGGGGAAGACAAGAAGAAAAATTTGGTCATTGGTCTGGCACAAAGATATAAATGTGGCACCTGTGTCGTGGAGTTGACAAGTCAGTAAAATGACCTATATTTAGAAATATGTCATTTTCTTGATGTGATACTTACCAATAAATTTGTTTTGCATAGTCTCCAACAGTGCTTGATGAGCGTCCTCAGCTTGCAAAGCATGGGAACATTCTCTAGCCAGTATAGTGCGAACAAGATGCTCTCCACACCCTGAAAATCCAAAGAAACCAAGAACCATTGAGGGAAAGAAAAATAAACACCCTTCTTGTCTTACTGGCATTAAAACACCCTTGTGTATCACTTATGAGGTAATGTTGGAGCAAAGTTCAGTGATGGATGGAATGATTTTTATGAGAAATCTAGTAATTTTAGTAATTAGATCTGACAAAAGCTAAAGAAATACAGGACGATCTCATTTCAAAAGGAAAGAAAGAAAAATAAAAGGGAAGCCCTTTTATAGGGAGGATTTACTTCACAGTAATTCAGATTTTCCACCTAGGACATTCAACAGTTTGTCTCATTTCCCATTGTCAAGCTACTAAAAAAGACACTTGGATATTTGCTAATATTATTTTTGAAAGTAATTAATTCATTAGTAGACTGCATTCCATTGGTATTAGTCTTCCAGTCAGTGAACAAACAGCTTTCCTCTGTCCACCCATACAGTGACACATAGGAAAAGACATGGAAGCTAGGGTAAAAGTTACTTTCCCCACCTCCTTTTTACTTCATACATTAATTTACATAGCTTTCAGGGATGAATACATAGCTTTCAGGGATGGCCCTGGCGGGGGGGGGGGGAATGCGTTTTAACCCCCTGAGGTGAATTTGAACCATTTAGACCACAATAGTGGGAAGGGTGCTGACTAGAATTCCATTTCAATTTCTACAAGTGAAAAGAAGAAATTACCTGCCAAAGCAGAAGCAAAAGAAGTTTAATCTCTAGGCTAAATTTAATCTATAAATTTGAATAAGAGACGAAGATCACTCCCTTTTTCTTAGTAACGGTCACTGTTATTAGATGTCTGTGAGGCATTTTTGCCTCACAGGACCCCATGTGACGGAGAACCGCTCCACAGGGTTGCTTGGCTGTAAGCTTTATGGAAGGAAGGAGCTGGTGGCACCAGGGCCCGTCGCTCAGCTGCCAAGCAGAAGTTGGCAGCGAGAATACACTAGTCGTTCTGTTGAAAAGGTCTGGCAATCTATCTCCCTAAAGGTTATGGCCTAGGAAACCCCATGGGAGAGTTTGACTGTCCTATAGACACAACTAGGGGTCAGAATCAACACAATAACAGTATTTACAAAAGCAGCTTGCCAACTCTGTCTCCTGTGGAGTGACTGGGTGTGTTCAAAGTGCCAACAGGCAAAAGAGGCAACTACTGTTTTATACACACAATCCTAAGGAGTAAATGCTTGGATAGACATGCAGACTGAACAGGTATGGGGAAAAAGTGGTAGTATTTCCATGAATTTGATTGTTTTTTCCTCACTATAACTTTCTTATTCGTCTTTTGGAAACAGGAATTTATTTGCCAGGAAGGATGACCCCATCATACTTCGGCAGGAACCAGCGCATGGCCTCCTCTTTGCCGACTCTGTGTTCTGACCCGATGCAGCCTGTTCTGCGCTTCTTGTCGGCAATGCTGACGCCTGGCCTCCCCAGCACCACGTAGAAGTCCAGGCCGTAGATGCAGATGCTGGGGTCATATTTGATCCCCAGGTCGATGTGTTCCTGGATCCCAAACCCAAAGTTTCCAGTATCGGAGAAGGTATTGTTCCGTAACTCATACTCCCACACCTTCAGACCTTTCTCCAAGATTTCCTCTGCCCTGGCCCCACGGACTGTGCAGTGGACAGCAGTTTTTTCATTTCTCCGAATGCCAAAGGATCTGACGGCGTATCTGGCTTTGGAGAAGACGGGGGTCTGGCCAGTGAGCTGCTCCAGCACCTCGGCCGCCCGGGTCAGCCTGTAGCCACTCTCCCCCGCGCAGATGTTGAGGCCGAGCTTGCGGATGCGCAGCTCCCGCATCGGGTTCTTTTCACCTTGATCCTGCGCCGTGATGGAGACCAGGAAGAGCGAATTTGATTTTTTTTAGAAAATGTAAATTAAGATGGTTAAATGAAACCACCTCTTTTGAAAGCTATCTAAAAGTTCTTAAACAGCTAAGAACTTTTGTAGTGAAGCCCACACTACAATTAATTTAATATATGATTCTGTTTAGCTAATAAGTATTTGACAGAGCTTCGATTATTCAAGGAGCTGCTAACTGCAAAGCCAGCAGTTTGAAACCACCAGCTGCCCCAAAGGGAGAAAGTGTGGCTCTCCATTCCTGGCACAGGGTCCAACTTCCAAACCCCACAGGGCAGTTCTACGCAGCCCTTTAGGGTTGCTATGAGTCAGAATCAAATAGTGGGTTTTGTTGAAGCACAAACAACATATGTCTGCATAACAATGTCTGCAATGGTTAAACCACACAGTGTCCTTCTTTTAGGAACTTTTCTATACATATACACATATTTTTCCTTACCTCTTGTCCTTCTTCCATTCTTTTCACTTTCTCCACTCACATACATACATACATTTGCATACAGTATCTGTAAATATGCACAATATGCTTTTGCCAAAATTTCAAATTATTTACAAAAAGTGAAGACTTTAGGTTTCTAAATAATCATCTGATATTTTGCTAGTAATAACATGCCTTTATTTTTCTGGATAAGTGTAAATATCCTTTAATCCTTAAGTTTCCAGTTATGAATACTACTTATAAAAAAAGCTAGAAAGATGTAAGTTAATATGTAACTCTCAGGCAGAATTATAAGTCAACCCTCTTTGCTTAAATTTTCACAGTATTATTTTTATAACCAGGAAAAATAAAGAAATTCAATAAAGCTAATAGGAAATAAACCATGTTTGACATTTACTCTGTAGAAACCCTGTGCTAAATTCATGAAACTCCACAATTGTTAATTCCCTTTGTGCACATATTTCATGTTGAACAGTGAAACATACTTTGGGACAATAATAGTTAGGGAATTGGCATATTGTAAGCTAAATGAATGATCAGAAGTTATGTATACATGTCTCAAGTCAAACAGCAAAGCCATATAAAATTAATATTACATAAAAAATACAATGCATGTCACAGAGATTTTCTTCCTATGTTGTTCTTACACAGGAATATATAAGATTTTCTAATGATTACTTTTTAGCAAGAAACTTTAAAAATTCTAAGTTCTTTTCTCTGATGTACAGCACTTCTAACCTAACAACTATTACACAAAAAGCCTGTTTTAGGGGTTTCGACAAAAAGTTTGGCTTCGGAGGTTTTACCCACAAAATTCCAAGGTTTTTCTGAATATGCTGCCCATACAGCTGAAGTCTAAATCAAAGTGTAACTTTGATCTTTATTCACAACTATAGAAATAAGGCTGTTACATCTTCTTTCTTAATTTTTGCACGTAAAACCCCATTTGTGTTCCCAGATATTTGAAAAAGGGGAAAGGGGGGAAGACAGGATAGAATGAAGATTTCTCTGCAAATCAAGAGGAGACGCGAAAAACAGCACAGTTAAAAGCACTCACAAATATATAGATTATTAAGGACCAATAAGAAAAACAAAATATAGATTTATAACTTAAGTTTGAAAAAGTCTTTATCGCCTTTGAGCAGAGACTAGGGAACAAATTCATTTATCCTTAAAACTAACAAAGGAACAGGAGGGGAAAATCAAGTTTTTTTTCATGACGGAAGATTTCCTCTATAGAAATCGTCTAGATCAGTGTTCTCAACCTTCCTAATGCTGCGACCCATACAGTTCCTCATGTTGTGGTGACCCCCCCAACCATAAAATTATTTTCGTTGCTACTTCATAACTGTCATTCTGCTACTGTTATGAATCAAGCAACCCTGTGATAAGGTTTTTCGACCCCCCAAGGGGTCAAGACCCACAGGTTGAGAACCGCTGGTCTAGATAATAAATGGATTAAAAATTAAGAGAATTATAATGTAACAGTTTGTAGCCCATACATAATAAAGAAGGCAGGAGTCCCAGTGTTTCGTTAAATAAAGTGCTTGACTGCTATGGTAGTCTGCTTCCACAAAGATGTGCATCCTTGGAGACCTGTGGAATGGTTTCTAAGTTGTCTTGGGGTTGCTATGAGATGACATAAATTCAACAACAATGGAATGAAGAAGGCTTGCTGGTGAAACTGCTGCCAGTCCCAACCTACCCAGCAGCTCTGCAAAAGAAAGATCTGGCAAACTGCTTCTGAAAAGATTTCAGCCAAGAAAACCATATGGGGCAGTTATATGGATTCCCTATAAGTCAAATTCAACTTGAATGCAGCAAATAACAACTTCTAATAACTGGCATTGGCGCCAAGCAGCAGTGGTTGCTCTAATCCAGGGGTCCTCAAACTTTTTAAACAGGGTTCACTGTCCCTCAGACCCATTGGAGGGCTGGACTATAGTTTAAAAAAAAAAAAACTATGAACAAATTCCTGTGCACACTGCACATATCTTATTTTGAAATAAAAAAACAAACAGGGCAAAAACACCGGGCAAGCCCGATAAATGTTCCCGGCGGGCTGCATGTGGCCCACGGGCCGTAGTTTGAGGACCCCTGATCTATAAGTATCAGACTTTAATTAGTACCACGCTGGTCTCCAGGAGGTGGGAGTCAGACCTCTCTCCACTCTCCAATGCTTTCACTCTCTGCCAGGAAGACTCCTACTCCTCCGTGGCACGTGGAGCCCACGCCAGAGATCTCACAGAACACAACGTGGTTTATTAGAGAAGTGCAAAGATAGAACTCAAGATCGAAATCTGCTTGAAAGTAATACGATGCAATTTAGGAAAAAAGATAAGCTCTTTAACCTGGACAGTTCATAACTTCTCTGCTGTGCCTATAGGCAAATGACCCTTTCTTGGAAGTGCCCATGGCCAAGCCTTCTCTCAAACCTCTGCTGCCACAACCTGCTTGTCTCTGCACTAGTCTGGCAAGTGTTTGACTCTTCAGGTCTGCCAACAAGTGTTTGAAGACACATCATTCTGCCAGTAAATGTCCTGCCTGAAGGCATTCAACTCTCTCTCACTCCACTGGTCACCAAGCCTAATGCAGCTGCCTTGGGCAGGTCTTCGAATTTTCTCCATGCACACTGTTGTCAATGCTTCTCTATCACTGAACTCTGCTACTGTCACCACTATT